TTGATGACCTCAAACGCTGATGTCATAAGTAATGGCGGCTCAGCAGGTGTTACACAGTCAGAGGAGACCTGGTATCCACTGTGAATGAGGGAGCAGCTGAAAAGCCTTATTTTTTAAAATAATCAAATCATTTCAAGACTGGAGCGATGGTTCAGTTTTACAGGTGTGTTACAGGTGAACGAACACGCCTCGCCGGACGTTTGCTTTCTGCCCTCTGACACAAACTGAGCAGAGGACAGCAGGACCCCCCAACACGACAGCATGAATCTTGATCTTAGTTTTGATCCGGTGAACGAGTCATCTGGACCGTCGGCGGCGTCATTACCTGTCTGCTGGACGGCGTCGCCTCTCGAACTTTGTGAGCCACCCTGGCGAGGATGGAGATGAGCCAGCACTGCCGGTCAAACTCCTCCCGGAGGCCCCGACCAACGCAGCACAGCAGCGCAGCGAGGAGGTGCTGATAGCGAGCACTGAACTGACTGTCCTGGAGGTTATCCTTCAGCAGCCTGACGCACACACAGACAGACATGAGCAGCTGAGCTCAGAGACGCTAGATGTGACTGAAGTGGACTCTGGGGCGGACTCACCAGAACAGGTAGTGAGCGACGCGAATGTCCCCGATGGCTCGCCGCAGGAGGAAACGAACCAGAGAGCTGTCCAGGTAACACTCGTACTTCAGAGCCTGAGACACAGAGAGAGGTTACAGACATCAACGCCCACTGCTCCGCCCACCTGCTGCACTTCCACCTCTTACCTGCACCAGCTGAGGCAGGAAATCCAGTAGCTCCGGGTCGGAGATGGAATCCATCCACTGGACCGCCGTCCTCCTCAGCTCCTGATCTGGGAACCTGAAGCACACGCGATGATGTCACACTCAGCTGGTGAGAACTTTTTCATTATTGTTATCATCACACCTGAAGAACAGAGCTGCCCGTGTTCTACATCAGTGAGGCGATAACAAACCATCACCACCACGACCTGTTTCAGACATTATTGCCAGCAGAGACAGAAACGAGCAGAGAACGTACGAGGCATGGAGGAGGCCCAGGGCGTCCAGGTGACCCAGGCAGGCCCACTGTCTCAGCAGGGCGTAGATTTCTGGCAGACACGCCCACTCCCAGCAGGGGGCGCTGGCCAGAACCAGAGGCAGCGCGGCGCTCTCAGCCTGACAGAAGGCCTTCTTCTCCCACAGCAGACGCTTGTCCTCCACCGTCAACCTGCAGACACAGCTGCAGTCTCACCACACCTCAGCGCCACTATGGCCCGCCCCTCAGAACTTAATGCTTATGGACTAATCCCAGTCAGAACATGGCTGTATCCCAATTCAGGGTCTGCAGCCTTACCGGTCCATAAGGGCCGCGTACTCAAAGACCACTGAGGCCGGAAGTGAGAGGCTTGTGAAATGGGACGGTCTAGCCTCCGTCGCGCTGCCCAGGTTGCCTAGCAACCATGATACTAACCGCGAGAAACGTTTCATACAGCTTCGTGTGACAGAAATGAAGGAGAAATAGATTTTAAGTTAATTTTGTTTAAGACATCACTTTGATTAGCTGAGTATCTGAGGCTGAGGCCACAGTAAAAACATGGTTGTTGGGCTTCATTCCTGTGCTGAACACTCATTTAAGATTAGCTAGTAAATAACAATTAGCTGATGTTGTTCATGCGACTAAAGTCATCTCACTGTGGTAAAGTAAATATAATATGGCCAATATTATAGTATTGTCAGATTATTCTTAGTTATTACAGCAGAGCTTGAACTCTGGGTCAAAGATTCAAGTTGGAGTTATTTATATTTCCTATCACCTTAAATCTTCACTCAAAGACGAGTATCTGTGACAGTGT